CTTTGGAGAGTAGTAGCCAATACATTTCTGCAATGAAAAAAGAAATTCTGAGATTTTATAGTATTGTGTACTATCCCCTTGACTGCTCTTCACTTGCTTGAATCATAAATACCAGAGTGAATTCAGCAGGATATACAGAAGCACCTGCATAATTTTGCAACCAACAGCACATAAGTATATTAGCTCAAATCTCTTAATTTGGGTATCACTACACAAAAAGAATGTTGTACACAGAGGGAACAAAACCAATTACAGAATCCCCCATCCCTTTATTTTTTCTCTTTTTACTTGAAGCAAATTTACACGGATAAAAACAACATGTAGTGAACTTGCATATGCTCAAATAAAAGAACTACTCAATTTTGACTTGCTTCTGGCTTTGCTGCAAGACAGGGATGAAAATCAGGAGAAGGAAATATTGTTTTTACTGTTGTGCCCAAATTTTGTCCAAGGAACACAGAGCCTGATCTTATAGAGCACCAAATAATTGTCAACATTATTGAACAACAAAAGTGATCATTGACAACTTATTCAAAGACTAGGGGAAAAGCACCATAAATGAGGTACTAAAAAGTAGGGATTTACTTAGTTACAGTATTATGATTTCCAAGTCATTACATTTTTAAGGCAAAGTCTTATAGTAACAAAACACATAACTAATGTGTACTAAAATAAGGTTATTTACTTAAAAATGATACATTGGACATAATCTGTGTACAGAACAAGCAATTCATGGTAAACTCAATAAGGCACCTTCTAAAGCAGATGCTGTACAAAATACTTTAGTGTGTTACATTTTTAAAGGAGTATTCTACACTTCTGGCATATAACACACACAAGAGTGTGACCATTTGGCTTGTTCCACTCTTCTTTCATATTTTATTTACATATTCTCTAGGTTAACTACAATGTTATTTATTCTTCTTGTATACAATATAGTACATTTCATTTTGGGCATGGCATGTCAGAGCACAGATGTCACTACATGACGTGGGCATCTATAATCGCATTCAAAGGTAAAATATTACAAAGCAACAATTACATGAGATTTGTCCAACAATTAGAAGTAACGGGCATTCCACCTCTCTTACACCAACCAAAGCTTATACAACACTGCTCCATAAAGCACTGCATCGTGCAACACCTCCAGCCACTTTTAAACATCACCCCTATTTGGAATAAAGATTGTGGGCACAGGATAGAGTTTTGACTTCAGAGGCACTGTCAGAAGAATGAGGAAGTGCTAAACCATTCTCACATTGAAGATGAGTGCGTAACTTCCCTTTAAAAATATCTGCAATAGCCAAAGAATGCTTTTTATCTTGGTATCTTTGCTTTTCAAACATTTTCGACCATTAAAATACAGTCTGTGAAGACAGAGTAGATGAAATGTATCCAAACACATTCAAATGGTCATTTAGATCAAGTTCTAATATTTGATTCTAGACTATAGAGGTAACAAAATATTAATTTTACATTTTACTTATTACCTCAAAATAGACTAATTAAGAAAATAATTGGGGACAAGCGATGGATACTGGGAAAACTGTCAATTTCTTCAGTAAAACTCAGGAAAAATGACATACTGAGTAAAACTCGGAATAAACTCAAAATGTAAGCCTACGTTTTTCTGTAGGAATATCATGTTTCTTGTGGAATTTAGAAGTTAACCACAAACACAGAAACTTTCCTTTCAGTTGCTGTAAGAACTATGTAAGTGAATCAAATTATTTTCACCTAACTGAAATCACACGGAGTAGGTTAAACAAATACAGAAAAACTCCTCCGCATGTGAATGTTTAAGAACTTCCAAGGCACAGTCTTGATACTCCCCAATATGTTTTCCACACTTCTGATTTTTATATTTAAAAAAAGTGATAACACATTTGCCAGTTTTGGGGGATATTTTTCTTGGATGACAAATGCTTAAAATTTTGACCAACAAAATGGGATTATTCATACTCCAACAGAAGAATCCTACTACTCTCCCTGACCTTAAAGGCTTTTCAACTCTACAGTTCTGCATAAAGCAACAACTTAGTTTTAGAATCTGCACTCAGTATGCTTAATTATGTAAAAGCTAATGGGCTAGCTTTGAGCAAAGTTGGTTTTTTTCCCCCCAAATGATTGCTAAAATAGCTGTATAGATATGCTTAGGCTCTAACAGTGAATGACCTTACACGGAGTGTAGATATGTGCTCAAGTGCTTTATGCAACCAGGTTCTTTGGTGATAACTGTTTTTTATTTTTTTTTTTTTAGTATCAGGGAATCAAGGAATGCTAAAGACCCCAGCAGCTCCTGTTCAGGACAGTAACAACTGCATATGCATGATATGCTTGAGTATGAATCTAGTAACTGAAGTGCTGAAAAATTAAAGTTATGCTTAAGGCAAGAAGATTTTCTTTCTCTCAAAGATACTCTTCGCAACAGTCAGCTCACTACTTACTACTTCTGTGCTAAAGTGAATGTGTAAACCAATTCAGGTCTTAAGATATCTACCAAAGATCACCATCCTATTGCCTTGCAAAACAATGGAAGAGAAAATAAGTGAATAATTAAAACCCATCAAAATTCACACTTTCAGCAACGGCTTCCTGAAGACTTGGGAAAAACGAATTAAAAAATTCACAAAACACATTTACACATAACTATGCTGTGGCAACTTCTAAAAGAAATAAAAAAGTATTCTAAATATGAATGGGTTAATTTAAATAGACCTCCATGCTCTGAAAGTTTAAGCTAGCAAGGTACCTATAGAAACATTTTTCCTGCTTATTGATAAAAATCTTAGAGGAGGGAAAAAAAGCTCATCCCTTACATTTTTTTGGCTCATACCAAACATTTTCCAACTACCTGTGCAAAAACTGTGTGCGAAGACATGATCAACAATTTCAAACTTATCATATATTTCTTGGCAATGGACGGAAAAATGATCTTTAAAAAAGCCCTTTACCATGAGGATTGTGGCACAGTATCACATATCTCTTGCTGTTTTCAAATAAGTTAAAATTACAGCTGACACACCTATGAGCTTTTTAGCCAGAATACATATTAATACTTAAAGGCATTACTGAACAAAAGTAATGACTTTATTTTTTTTAAAAAAAGAAATGTCCCTCAAAATAGCTAGTTTTCTATAAAATACATAGAACTGTTAAATAAAGTCTGTACATCACAATAGAAAATAAAAATACTGCGATCTTTTGCCTGACCATTTACATTATGTGAACTACAGAATTAGAACAAAAAAATAACATGTTAGAAGGTTGCATTTGTTCATAAATCACATTAGTTCTGCATTACATTGTTTTCTATTAGTTACATTTTCAAGGGAAATTTAAACACATATCAAAACAAACTCCATGTACATATTTTAAGACAACAAATAATCTGGCATAAATCAATCTGAAGTTTTAACATTTTTTTCAGTTTTTGTATTATTCCTTTTTTCTTCAAATCTCAACTATGGCATATGTGTGTGTGCATGTATCTAACTGTACACATGTACCTAGGACTAGGTGGTTTTTACTAAAGCACAAAACACATCATATAAATAAGTTCCCTTTTTAAAGTTATCTAGAACAAGATTTACAGTACAAAGTTACAGGCACTTAAATTATCAAATAGGTTCAATGGTTCCAATACTGTGTGTTCATTCTTCTGATGAGTCACCGCATTTGAAGCTTTAACTTGAGTTATGGTACTATTTTCTAACTTTCAAGTAGAAGTGCCAAAGGAATTATAAACCAGTAATTCTGCTTTACAGTAACCTCACGGAGGGAGTCTGGTTTTTAACCAACTTGTCTGGGTCAGTGAAGAAAAGGAGGGAACTACAGTTTCCTGTGCATGCCAAGCAGTTGGCACTATAGGACCAAATTTTGCAGTTATGTTAACTTACTTCATGAATTATCTTTCAATGCCATTCCTCCCAAATGTGCCTAACTAGAACTTAAAACACTCACCGATCTACCTTGTCTCAACTCCTGAATTTTGTAACTGTCCACTAAGTGGCCCACAGACGTGACCTCCTGCATTTACATCAGGGCAACCGAGCTCAAAATCCTCTGCACGCTGTGGATCTTATCTTCAGCAGTTCACATACTCAGTTCTCCTGGTCTTGACCTTTACCATCTTCTCCAATCTTCTGAGTGCCCGGCATGCACTTCCTGCCTTCCCTCTTTCGTGTCTATAAATTAGGCTTGTTCTCAAGCCTTTCAAAACTTGTCTTCTGCCTAGTTCTGTCAAATAATGCAAAAGCATGCTCCTACAGCTGACTGATTCCCCCTGTATGGAAAAAAGTTCAGAGCATGACAGACACCACCAGTGTGTCCCAATAAAGTACAAAGGCAAAACACGTTATCAAGGGTCTTTCTGTCAAGATGTGAAGTATTCTACAGCAAAAATGCTGGTTGCATGTGGCATTGCGAAATATATGCTAAATTTCAAATTTAATCCACTAGCCCACTAGACTGTGAGAGATGACCAAGGCAGTCTATACCTCTAAGAGGGGCTGTTTCAAGCTCTCTTCAGACTTAGCTAGGCATTCCTTAATTTACTAACGGTTCACATTTTTGCAGTTCTCTTTGTGACCAAAACAAGAACAGAAATAAAATTAAAATTGAGATTCTGGAAGATAGCTTAATGGCAAGGAGTAAATTCTGTAGCAAATCTGATTGTGGAGCCACAAAATGCATGGAGCCCTGACCATAAACCTTTGTTCATTTAAATGGTTTCTTATCTATTCCAAATGACAGCAAAATAATCCTGGCACACGCATAAATGCATAAGGTACTGTTAAACTGAGTAGTATCACAAACAGATTCATAACCTACAGGCTGTTTCACAAAAACTTGGCATGGATTGACTAGGTTTTATCAGGTAGAAGGCAAAAAAAAAAAAAGCTTATATTCTCCATCTCTGTTGAATCCGGATAGCTTGTTAGGCTTTCACAGAAAGCACTGTAATCTGAACATTCAATTCAGTACCCAGAGTTTAACTGGAGACTCACTAAGTATGACGAGTCTCAATGCAGCTCAAACAAAACCAAAACGTGTATTTTATCAAGGCTGTCCATATACGTAGCATGTACTGTAGCGAGGCTCTCAGTATCACAGTCTATGAAGTACTGAAAGATTTGATTAGCAGCCTGTAGAAGTGTGCTGAGAAAATATACTGAATCTCAGTTATTTCCTCTTTCCACATAGGTCTCACCCATGTTTGAGTGAAAAGATTGAGGAGTCCAGCTTTGCTCTCCAATGTCAATTTACTATGTCAAATCTTTACATCTTGTGATTCCACCATCTTGGCAAGCGTCTTCTTGATCCTCAAAGCAGTGAGCCTTGAGGCAGGATTATGAGCCCAGCATTCAGACATTAATTTCAATATTGCCCTTAAACACTGTAAAATAAAACACAAAGGAACAGTATTGTAGTAACTGACAGATCTGAGAGGTGTGTAATTTTGGTTTGCCATCAAGCCCAAGTTATAGAAGTCTTAAGTCCAAATGTACAACTTCTACATTATGTGCAAAATTGCTGGTACAAACTATTATAAACAGATCAAACAAAAAAAACCAACAACCTACAACCACCACCAACTATGTCCCAATCCTCTTTTTTTACCCCTCACTTCCACTGCCAGTGTTACCACAGCTGGAAGTAACTGAAGTATTTCTTCAGTTTCACAAAGATGCATTACCTGAATTTATTATTACAGCTCAAGAACAGTGCTACAAAAATGGTAGCAGTAAGCAGAAAAATATCCATATATATAGCAGAAAAGCTGTAGAGAACTTTTTCAGTGAAAATGAAGATGTGACAACAGTTCTTTCAGCAGCCAGAAAATGATATGGAAAAAACTGGGAACTCCTAATAGAAATCAAGGATTTGGGGAAGAAAGGATATGGCATATCTGGCTTGCTATGTGAAATAGGTATGTCTTCTTTACTGTTCAAGCTTTAACCTTTAAAAACACATTAAATTTAATATTTTAGTTACATCATGGCTTGCCCTGGAATGCACCAGTAAAAACGAAAAAAAGAGAGAGAGAAAAAAAGAGGAAATCAACACAAAGAAATAGCTTTATATTCCATGAAACGCCTTATGCGACAAACCATTATGCTATATACATTAAGACTAATAAAACCTATTAAAAACTCCTTTAAGTTCCAGCTCCAGTGAAAACTCTGAAAAACATTCCGCTATCTAAAAAGAAGAACTTGGTGCACTATTCATACATTTGGATGCTGCTTAAGGGTATCTTCCCCTCAGCTCACTGAAAAGACACAGGAAAAACTCTGGTATTTTGAGTTGATTTCAAACATGTCTTTCTCCTATTGTTGCTGTGAGGTTTTCAAAATATCAGAATGTCTGAACATCGTCCCTATTTTACTATGTTTTAATATTTATTAAACTAAAGTACCCTTCCATATTAATGAACATATTGAACTAATTTTTCCTTCAGCATACTCACTTCATCACTATTCCATCTATTCGATACTACTGGGCGGAGGCGTTTGACACACACCACTTCTCTCATGTCCTCGTAAGAAGGATCATTTGGCACCATGTCATAATACGGCAACTGATACTCTTCAACAATACCTGGAGATAATTGTGAAAGATAAAAAACCATTTAAAAAATCAAATAAATCTATACATCTACTCTGAGATCTCCTTAGTTGGGAGCAAAAGTTAACTCAACTTTGTACCAAGGGAAACCCACCACACTGTTCTACTCTGATAAAAAGCAAAAATTTCACTACAGCGATCAGACATTTACCAGAAAACCACCAATATTATGAATATTAAGTTTAATAGCCACAATAATTCCTTGCAGTCCCTTTGACTTTGATACCCAGTGCAGAATTCAACATCTTCTAATCCACCACATGCTACAAAGAAACAGGGAGAAAACATGAGATGGAAGAAGAGGAGAAAACAAGTGAAGATCTATCAGGTCACAACAGAAGCTGATACAGCAGGCTTGTTCTGTTATTTCCTGGAAAAGTACTGTTAAAGTGAGACAAGGGCCTGGCAGATTTTATACAGAATATTTAAAAGTTTACCTCCTGTGACACAGCGCCGAGCCATTTCCCAAATGATCAGCCCAAAACTGTAGATGTCAGCCATGATGTATGGTTGGAAATGGTTTTTATTTAGGCTTTCATCTAGGACCTCTGGAGCCATGTAACGTTTTGTTCCCACTCTAGTATTCAAGGGAACATCAACTTCGTTTGTGTCACTATATGAAAATATTAAGAAGTTAGTGAATTGTGGACTATTACAAGACATGGTATGAAATCTTGTATGATGCAATCACTACACGCTGCAAAGCTCTCATTTACAAATTAAATTCTTCCTTTTATTTCCCTCTCAATACTACACTTACAATACCTTGTACCTCCCTGAAAAAGATTATCTAGAAAAACAATAGTGAGTACAGAAGTTGACAGTTTACTGCTTCTTTTGCAAGACACTGAAAATACATATGAAAAAACTGACTTAAAAAAAACTATAAAGATGAGTATATTTGGTAACAACTCAGAAGATTATTTGCAAAGGCTTATACTTTCTTTCTGTTGTATCAAAGGACAATACTCTGGCTCCATTGAACTTAAAAAAAAAAAGAAAAAGCATTTGATAACACTATTATAGTATTACTTCTTCAATTAAGTTTCAACTCCCTTTACACTGTTTAAAGTTTCTGCGAGATAATTTATAATGAAACTACATGATAGCAATTACTATGAAAGGCCAGTTTCATGTAACAAATGAATCGGTCTCTTCTTCCTTTTCTCTAACGAAACTACTTTCCACAAGAGTAGTTTTTTCATTGTTCTCTTACCAACCTACTTTCATCTTGATGCTTACCTACATTCAAAGGAAGAACAGCATTTTACTCTCAAAACTGAAAAAAACCTGAAAGCATGCAACCAACTGACTCCAACTTCCTTTTAAATTGGATAACTGGCACATTAAAAGAAAAAAAATATAGAAAAGTTTTCTCATTATAGAGGATTTGTTCATTTACCTGTTAAATTTGACTGCAAGACCCAAGTCAGCAATGCAGCAGGTTCCATTTTTCTTTATCAAGATGTTTTTACTCTTCAGATCCCTGTGTGCAATAGCAGGCTTGCCTTGTGTCCCATAAATTTCTGTGTGCAGATGGCACAGACCACACGCAGCAGAATATGCCAGTTTGAGGAGAGCCCTGTTGTCTAGTGTAGTGCATTTCAGAAAATCATACAATGATCCATTTTCATGATAATCTGTAATCAAGTAAAGCTGTGTCCAGGAGCCAGTGCCTTTAATATCTGCAGCTATGAAACCTATGAAATATACAAAGTTACAATTTATTTGTACATAAATTTTTTACGCAACAGATTTAGTAAGCATTCCTAAAGCTGTATTCTCTTGGACTGTATCAAAAAAAGTACCTGTTCCCCTTTTGAAAACTAATAATGTAGAAGCTCAGATTTCAACCATACATGAGTTTACCATTCCAGTCTTCCAGTGAAGAGACTGCAGACACGTTTCCAACCAGAAGCAGCAAGATTCTACCCTTCTATTAACATTTTGTTAGCATACATTAAGGGACACCCATCTCGTTATTTCCATAGAAGCTGCCATATATCCCTCAAGCCACCTACTAAGAATTCCTCCTCCTTCAGCCACACACAAGCCCCCCCAGCAGCCAAACAATGTACTGCTTCCTCACCAAGGATGTTTTCATGCCGCATTAAAACAGTTTGGTAAATCTCTGTTTCTCGAAACCAACTGGCTTCTTCTGTGGTGAAAAACACTTTCACTGCGACTTTTTCACCCCTCCACTTGCCCATCCACACTTCACCATATCTTCCTTTTCCAACCTGCCTCACCATCTGAATTTGTTTGGCAATAGTGCGCTGAACCTAGGGAAGAAAGAAAAAATTAAAAAGAAAAAAAAAAAACAAACCCCAAAAAAACCACCAAAGAAAAGAGGGAAAGGTGGAAGAGGGAAACCCAACAATTAACCAAAAGCACCTGGACACGCTGCCTCTCAAGCTTGGACTGCTTTGAATTTTCATCCCATGGTAAAATTTGTTCTTAATTAGTTTCCGGTATTCCCATTTCAAACTCATTACTGCTGCCTCCAAAGAAGAATTGCATAACAAACCCAAAAAGATTACATCAGCTCAACCTCTTATTTAATTCAGATGCATTCTCTTGCATTCTATTTGTTTCTATTTTACACATAATTACAGTCATCTGTCTCACTGGCTAATTTTTATGCAAGTATAATATAGGATGGTGAATCAAGAATTATGGACAACCATGAGCCAATAAAAAGCATATGTATTTTAACGGACAGTGGACCCTAAGAAAAAAAATAGCTTTGAGTTTGCTCAATTCAATACCTGTATTATCCATTTTTATCTTTATGTCTACACACTCCAATTTTTCTTTAAATTTTGCTGATGTCAACAGATTTTGTAACATATAAACTAATTTTGCATTTCATTTTAGTTAATTATATGAAGATGGGCTTTTGTACATGTTTAGTTTGTACCATATCTTTCACAGTAATTGCATATAAAATAATTAACATACTGTATGGATAAACTGCTTTGTTCTAGGCATTAGGTACAAACCAGACTTTGTGTTCAATGGAGAGAAGTTCAGTGAAGAAAAATGTTTATGATTTACCAACAACGGTAGTCCTGATCCACTCCCAGAACTCTGTGACTGGTCAATCAGGTCTTTTAATGACTCCCCAGCTGGAATAAACGCTTCATCTTGTTCCAGGTCACGATTATAACAGTGTCTCTTTGCCATCGACTTACAGTAATGCCTGAGGAAGTAAGAGGAGAAGTTAAGATGAACTCCAAAACAGTCTTCAAAATATGTAGTAAATTGATTTAGGAAAAAAGCTATTTAAATGTACAAGTTTTGTCAAAAGAAAAATAAACCATCAGGTTTTACTGTATCCTTTTTTTTCCAGAAATGTAACTTACATAGTGTTTTAATATTAAGGAGTTGTTGTAATGCGAGTAGAGACACGTCAGTTTATTATGAGTCAGGTAGAAACCTAGCATTTTTAATACTCAGCTCACAGCCAGTGTTACTAGCCACTGGTTTTGGTTTAAACTAACAGACTGAACCCTGAACCATGGCAGGCGAGGCTGACACATGCACGTTTCTGCTGAAACTGTTAGAACAACGATCACCTCTGGCTCAGGGCTGGAGCTGACAGCAGCAGGCACAGACTCGGAAGCTGCACCCGCACGAACTGCCATAGCTCAGCTGATCAATTCTTTTGTTTTGAAACACAGCACAAAAAGGAAAAGTTGTAAAACACATCCTTGTCACTTTAGGTTTGCAAAAGCACTTTACAAAGGCAAATCTCAGAAGCAGATGGAATTTAACCATCAAAACTGACTGAGGATTCGAGAACACAAAAAGCATTAAGATGTTCCTGTTAACCGGATGCTATGGCATCAAAGGTATATGTAGCCTAGAAAACTGTAAACACTTTGTAGCCAAAGGAAAGGATCAAATTCCTTTAAATTCTATGCTGTGAACATTTCATTTTACCTAGCAATGCAAACTGCTATCCACAGAAATGTTAAATTAAATTACAGCAGTTTCACTCCCAATCTATTTTTGTCAAAAATACATATGATTAACTGAGGAGGTTTACAAAATAACTGTTCTGTTTACACTCATTTGACAAATTAAAAACATTGTCAATAAAAAAGCACTTTCCTTACTTGTAACAAAAGCAGCTAAGTAAGATGATCATGACAATTATGCAGACTGCCATAGAAATCAACACTGCCATCCACCGAATGCTGCCATCAAAAAGTCCATCTATTGAAAAAAAAAAAAGTTTCCAAAGTCTATTAATTAAACATCTATTGTAAACAGTTTATTTCGGTACAGCATTTTCAGACACTGTGTATATGAATGTGCACAAACTGAAACACAGGAGGTTTTGTCTGAACATCAGGAAAACTTCTTTACTGTGAGGGTGACCAAGCACTGGCACAGGTTGCCCAAGGCGGCTGTCGGGTCTCCCTCCCTGGACATACTCCAAAGCCACCTGGACATGGCCCTGTGTAACCAGCTCTAGGTGGTCCTGCTTGAGCAGGTGGGGTGGACCGGACTATCTCCAGAGGTTCTATCCAACCCTCAACCCACCCGTGATTCTGTGCCAGTATGTGGAGCCACTTGCAAAACACCAGAAAGGAGTAAGACAGCTGATGCATATAATACAAACATATGAAATTACACAAAATTTAGAGTGATTTAGTATCAAAGTAAGTATTTGCACCAGAAAAGCAAAAATAATTTCATCTGAATGGCAACAGAAAAAAAAGGATTTAACTTAAGTTTTTGGGATTGTTGGTTTTGGTTGACTCTTGTTAGTTTGTTCTTAGAAATAGAAATGAAAGATTTACAGCACTAAGATTCTGAGAAGGTATTAAGCAGCAGTTAAACCAGTACGACTTGTCTAGCAACGAATGGGTAAGTGGATGAAAATATAAACTTTTTCACTGGGAACAGCAGAAAGAAGAGAATAAACTTACAGTAGACAACAGTTAACAATGTCAGAATATTTTTTTTTTTAAAGATAGATTCATCATGGCAAAAGCACAGCAGAGATTAAGAAAACCATTTCAAAAAGAAAAGAAAACAGGCTGTGGAAACAGAATAAAAACAGATCAAAAGATCACAGGCAGACCAAGATAAGAGCAAACTGAGTAAGAGAATAAAAATACCATGAGTGACTGATGGAGATAAATATTAACTTGGAAGTGGCAGAAAAGCAAAACTGGAAACAGAGTATGAAGTGTAGTACAGAGCTTCATATAAAATTACTCAGTAAGGAAAAAACAGATTTGTGCAATACTGCAATTACATCTTCTCCTTATTTTTATCTGTTGATCAGGAAGAACGGAATCCACATAGCAGTTATTAGCAGCACTGTGAACACCTATGAGCTGTTTACCTGCACTATCAAGTGGTGGTAATGTTGGCTGTAAATCCTGATTGCAGAAATCAGTTCGACAGCATTCAATTGTTCGACGTAATTGTGCTTTTGGCGAGTCCTGTTGAAGGAGAATTGAATAAACATTCAGATTTTGAAGTGATCAGCTGGGACAGGGACAGGTGATGCTACTGATGCAACATAGCACAGACAAAAGTTAAGTTATTTCATTTAAAAAAAACAGTTCAACCTCACCATGTGATATATGAGAACTTCACAGTGGCAGACAAGCGTCATCTAATCTCTTTGGGTGCATACATTCCATGTTCACACTTTTTTATTTTTCATGGAACTTTTACTTGGTGCACAGATACAGATGGTTCCCACTTAAGTCGCTATTTCACACATTGCAAAATTTTTAAGATTGGTCAAAAGCAGTTAATCATACGTTAAACAAATACTGCTCAAAACAAAAATCCCAATCCCTTTAGAAGTCTTTCTCTTGCACTCATCATGGCAGCACTGTTTGCTTCAAAAACATCTTCAGAACACTATATAAAAGATGTAAAAGCATGAAGATTGATCTGAAGGTGAAACACTAATATAAATACAGGAACAATTTCATGAGGTCATTGTGATACCTCATGTCTGATTTGCACTAACTCCGAACAGTCACAGCTGTAACTGAGGTCAACAGTGCTTTCAAAACGCAGTGCTACTGACAGCTACGTTACATAGGAACTCAAGTCCTAGAGATTTAAAATTGAGTGTCCAAAACAGTGATACTGGGGGGAGGGGGAAATATCCCAACTGGTGATTAGCTCTGAAAGCTTTGTTTAAAGTAAGCAACGTGACAGAAGAAAAGGCAAAATCCAGTCTTCCAAGGCAATATCCATTTGCCCAGCTAGCACTATATCCCGTCTTCTAAAAAAATCTTTGCTTTATTAACCGTGTTTTTCAGTTCCAACTTTTGTAACAGATTAAGAAGTTCTAACGGCAGCAATCTGCTTAATTATATGCCTTGACATCAAAAGCAACTTATAGCCATGCAATTAACGAGACATAACTCTTCTAGAAAGTGGGGAAAAAAGAAGTTATACATTGAACAGGAAAACATACACATTTGGTAAACTGTGTGTACATGCCCATGAAACTATGGGAGCTCTTGTGTAATCTATGAAGGCAACTCTCTATGATTATGCTCTTCTGTCAAATCAACTGAAGAAAACAAGAAATGCCAAATGAAAACAATCAAGAAATACTGCATTCAAACATTCAAACTACTCAGATCAATTAGATTGACTCTAAAGCTGTCTCATCAACTTAGAAAACAGCTGACAAAAGTAAAGGTTGATATCCTCTGTTCTTTTTGTCAGTGGCTTATAGATACTTGCAGAGAACTCCAACAAGCTAGGATCCTATTCCAATCTTTGCTCAAACACCATTAAGTGTCCTTTCTGTCACTACTCACCCACAACTGTTCTGTTCCGTTCTCCTCCGTGGAAAATGGCAACATGTAAAATTCTGTGACTGCGCTTGTAAACCACAGAGATATAAACTGCTTACAGTACATCATCTCTAACCCTACACGCTCTCCATGGAGAAAGATCTTAAATTGTAACGATAACTCATTTTTTTACCTTGCACTGAAAGTCTGAACCTTCATACTTCATGCAGCCAGAAGCAAGTGTGGGTTCTCCATGTTCATCTTCCTCAATGATAGCAAAACAATGTCCATTAGTTCTGGAATAAACATATCAACTGTGCTTTACCAACATGTTCGTTGTTTAATATGCAGCATTAGTTGACCATGAACCATTAGTAATACTACAATGGCAACATCTAGAAAAATTCTTCTTCAACATAGCACTTAGATACAGTTTGAGAACAAAAGACCCCCGCAGCAATTTCAAATAGAACACTGTGGGGATATTCTGTCTTCTACTTCCTCACCCCACTTCAAGATTGCTTATATCCAACCACACGCACGCAGTTGTTCAGAAAAAGCTGAGGGGGTGGAAGAGCTGAGATCTGACTAAAAAGGCTTACCAACTACAATTTTATAGGTTAAAAGAAAAATAAAATTCACTTGTGTCTGTTCTTGAAACTGCAATGATAAACTCTGGAAGTCTCAAAGACAAGTTCCAGTCAAAAGCTCAGCTATGCTCTTCTCACATAAGGTCTCTCAAATATTCAGCCTTTAGGGCAAAACAAACAAAAAAACCCCAAACCCACTTTCTGAAGTTGACAGTAACAAACAGATTACATTCTTTCAAAAAATGGCACTTCAGTTGCCCATTATCTCTTTATACAAATGCTTTTTGATTTCTATGCTACATGAAAATATCAACAATATTTGTAAAGAATCCCAAATGAATTCGCAACAGTGCTTTCAACACCTGTTTTTATTAAGTAAGTCAGATTCATTCATCCCCTGAATGCACGTACTAAGGAACACAAAGCCAGAAATATTTTTGTTTGCCTAAAATTTTTTATTTATATCAATGTAAAGAAATGCAGATTTGGGAAGCTTAATGCCATAAAATACCCTGTATATCACACTACATGAGTGTTATTAACAGTTTTATTTTCAGAATAATAATCTATACAGCCATTAGTTCAAGGGCAAAAAATTAATAAGGCCTATACTGGCTGCATACACTAGAGGGCGACCAAAAGCAAAAAATAAATGACCACAGGACCCGAAAGACAAAACACTGGATGGTAACTGAACGTTTTCCAGGTGCAAAACTATGTTTGTAAAATACTACCTGTGTTTACGTTTAAAAAGACAGTAGTGTTAAATCCCCCTGCTTGGGTTCCACAAAAACTACTTTATCTGACAAGTGACAGCTTTAGAGAGGCTTAATATTATGTGTTAAAGTGAAGACTCAAAGTGCAGTAACGAGTAATATGTTTTCTATTAGGTATCTTTATATTAAGTCTAAAGCAAGAACACATAAGGGCCTTAAACATGGAACTGCGAATGAAGAGAAAAAAGGAAAATAAGGATATGTCACGACACGAAAAAACCATCTTAAGCTAGGACATAATAAGTGCTTGAGTCTGCTAGGATTCTTATGTCTGTCAAAGTTATAACTACCCTCCTGTCCCTTTACGTTCAGAAGCTTTTCTTTTTTTTCCCCTGCCTTTCCCTCATACTCTACAACTAATGAACACATAACAAGAAGAATTCTCAGTAAAGAGCTATCTTTTGACATTACCTTTTGACTACTGACTGAGGAGATATTAGACTAAGGAAGCAGGTTCAGATTCGGGTCATTTAATACTCACTCAGCTGTAAGATGCTACAGGTTACTTAAAACCTCAGTCCTTCAAAGCAGTTGCTGGGGGTAAAAATTACTTGTAGCAAACGGTTCTAAGGTATGGTGAAAGCAGCATTGTTTTCATACAGATGACCGTGGATTTTAGTGCCCAGCTCTCCACAGAAACAGTGAGTTTCTAATCAATTATGGTTAAATCACCTGACAGAACCTCAGTCAGCACTCTAGAGATGTTTGCTCTCTCGCAAGCAAAAAACAGCCTCTTCAAAGAGCCGCTTCTATCCTGCATGCAATACTTACATGCAGGTATTATTAATAGCATCATCTGGACAATGTCCTGAGCAGTAGCACTTAAGAAAAGGTAAAGTGTCCTCTGGAGCAAGAGTTACTCCATTTGCTTGTTTCTTTTGGTCAGGATTCGTCTTCATTCCTGTGCCATGAAGCATGCTGTCTCGATTTTGACCTGGACATTTAAAAAAAACCAAAGACAATATTTTTGCATCTCTGATAACTGTTCAGGAGCTTTACAGGCAAACCATGACAACAGAATAATTACATTAACAGATAATTCAATTATACAAGACATAGGAACCTCCTCTCCCAATGTTATGGCAGAGACCTGAGTTAATCATTTTATTCCAGAAATACTTAGTTCAAATATTTTGTATCTTAACAGCAGATCTTCCAACCATAATTGATATGAAGAAGACAGTTCCCCTTTTTGAGGTGGGGCAGAAAAGTAGTGATGTAACTGGTAAGAATTTTCTGAAGAAAGCCTTTCTCATTCATTTGTTTAGAAAACCAAAATGCTGACTGCTTGATAACCACAACAGTATAATTTTATGCATGACTGAACATACTTCATATGCAATTTTCTAATTTTCTGAACTGAAGTCATTTTTTACGGATTCACAGTCTCACAGAAGAGCAATAATAGCTCCAAAATCTGTCAGGTTTTTTGATCTCTGCATACGTTAGTACTTCAAAACAGAGCTAAGTAGATCTTGTTTGCAAATTAAATTTCAGTAAATAACAGGAACATCCACATAAATGAGCTTTCAGAGACTAAAAATAGGGCTAAATCACATTCCAAGTAACCCTCAATTTCTCAACAGTAGTAGAGTTGAGCGTGATTTGTTCTAGTTCATATTAAAGTGCTTTTGTGAACGCAGGCATTCAGAAGAAAAACTCCATCCGTTTTCTTCTTAGCAAAAGATATCCAGAAAAAAAATTAAGGAACATTATCTGCCTCATTTCAAATATGCTTTGTAACCTCTATATGAGATGAGAACATCTTCATCCATCTCCTCCAGCTTTATCACACACAATTTTAACCAACAGAAAAACTCTTTCTGTCCATCATCTAACAGTATTCTTGGCCCTAAGTCCTCAAGGTGTGAGCCAAACAAAGCTAGCAGAGTTGTGAAGAGACTATCACCCACATTGACACAATTCACAGCAAGCCTCTGGGGGAGGCTCAGTATGCAAGAAGAGAACAGCCAGTGAGGACCAACAGAAGCTTTTACAACTTCAGTGATAAATAAAAAGGTGGAGGTACCTCAGTACTGCTCAAGAAGATTTTATACATGATAAAAATTGCAATTTATCTAAGAATTAGAAAAAAAAAAAAAAAAAGACCAGGAAATTCATGGTCTCCTTAAACTAAACCCACCGAACGCTACCTGTAAAGTAATGAGAACATTGCTCTCCCGTTGTACTTTGCTTGAAAGATGTGCAGAAAAACTTGATTAAAACCCTGTGCAGATACCACCCTCTGGGGGTATATCACTCTATTGTAACATCCACTATATCATTCAGCCAAATGTGCGATTAAGTATTTGTGAAATTTGATCTTACTGTCCCGAAAAAAGCAGACTTGCAGATTTCCTTCTCCGATTAACACAGCACACCCAGAGCATTGCCCCGATTTAGCAATTTCCCTTGAAGTAATGAAACTGCCCTTTTCAGATACAACTAAGTGCACATCCTAAGAACGTACAGCACCATTTACCTAAACCCTCAAATCACTTAGCCACATTTTATTTGGAATGTAGTTTTCAAACACTATTTCAGTAATGCCAGAGTTAAATCTTCCTGATACGTACAAACTGTTAACAAGAAAGAAGCTCCAATGCTAGAATAACACAGCGTTTACCTGTGCAATAGGTATTTCTAACAAAAAAGAATTTTGCACGTATGAAATAGCAGCTCCTCCTCTCTCTTTCTACTGATTTCCTCCCAGCATAAACTGAAAGCTCATTTTAATGCTGTGCTACCGATGTTACACAACACCCTGTATTCACATTTAAGAAAGCCTTACCTGCTCAGGGAACAGGTAATTCTACTTCATATTTAAAGGAAAAGCCACTGCATATGTACAAATATTGTCTTTCCTTCTAAGTTTGTGGAACTACTTAGATACGTTTCCTATTTAATGTTATAAAACCCCCTTTATCTTCAGGGACATTCCACATGTTAAAAGTCTGAATACTTTATTATCTGTGTCTCTCAGTCACTCATCCATCTTCCCACCCTGAGCACCTAATGCAGCATCTTTTTTCAATTCGTTAAAAGAGAAATCAAGGAACCCTTAAAGCATGGCTTCTCCTAGCTCAGGAGAGAAAGAACAAAGTTTTTATGTAGGTCTCAGATCTTTTAAAGCAGTATTATTCTTTGTAAACTAACACTAAAGCATGACTTCAGGCATACCAACCTTTCATACTAAACCACAGATGAAATACATTTTTCTTCTTAATTTATTATGATAGATTGTACAACAAGATTTATGAAGAACACATATCAAATAAAATCCAAAATAGATACCATACTTTCAAAGAGCCGGCATCTTTGCCTTTCGTACAGTCTATATAGGCAAAGATGTTTATTCAAAGCAAAACCAGACTACAATTTCATTATCTTTGTAATGTGAAAGAGAAATAATGCTCCATGATAGCCTGTTTTCATCTTACAGGTAATATCTGAATTGTACAAAGAATGGAAAGAAAAAAAATAAAACCCAAAAAATAACTTTCTTGCATTTTTACTTTGTAAGACTGAGTATCCAGGGAAGGAAGAACAAGGAAAATATTTAGACTGTTTGGGATCACTTCAGATGAAAGATTTTAATAGCCCCCATCTAGATATTATCCCTAACTGTCCTTTACTGCAGTACTACAATTTCTCCTCAGCATTTCAAGAAAGATTAGTGTCTACCTTAAAGATGTTAGGTATGGGAAAGGGAGCTGAATGTGGAAAATGACTTGGCTTCCATCCACCTGAGATGTTAAGAGAGCAGGTCAGGGTCTGAATGGGGTCACCGGATGCTCCATTGCTGTTTTTCCTGGTTAACAGATACTGGGTAAATGAACACATGTGAATGAAGGGTATGCCTGAATGGCATCTTGCTTCAGGAACTACCCGACCTTCTTGCACCAGTGCTCTCATTACTCCCCCCGCTCCGAGCTCCACCTCTCCAACATTCACACTGCTTTATCTTCCTTCTGGGAACAGGACAGAGAACGGGAGGATCACGTTTTAGAGCTCCTATGACACTGTACTACTCGATGACGTAATTAATGGGCTTCTCTTCCATGACACACGCAGTTGTCAGTTCTGTGGTGCAGCTAAGAAACACACACAAATCTTCCATAACCTTCAAAGGTGTCAATGCTATGCATTAATATACACAGCTTCAAGAGGAAAAAAGTTTGCATTGAAATACAGTACCCAGGGATTTCAGGCACAGCAAAGCTCCTTTCACCAGTATTTCCCACCCTCTGCCTGTAAACTGCACAGGGCTGCTGGGGCAAAATAACATACAGTAGCAGCAAATCAACTGACACACACTGGAGGCCTCGTTCAAGATGCTGGACCAGTTTCAGCCTCTTTGTCCAGCCTCAAGAACAATAGTATCATACACCTTTAAACATACAATAATGTCTCTATAATGTATACTGCACCACATTGCAAAAACTTACAACATTCAATGAAATATCAGAGTGATCATGAGCTGGAACATTCCCCTCTTCTCACATAACCACAGTGTAAGACAATAAAGAGAAATAAGCTGACAGGACTTCAGGTGTCCAGTTCATCACTTGCTCTGGCCCATCACAACAACGTCTCATACAGACTGCATAAATTTTAAATTCCCAGAAGTGTGAACAACTGCTACAGATAAGAAGGCATTAAATGGCTTTCTGTTTGAACTTTTTTAATAAAAAAGAACAACTGCTGCTAATGTATCACATCCAGCCCTTGATCAAAAAATATAAATTCTTCAAAGAACTGCTTCTCCTAATCATAGAAAATAAGTTAGATTATAAAAGTTATTTTAAAGAACAACAGTATATTAAAAATCCCACTACATTAGAAAAGTAAGCCTTCTTGAAAGCATGGCTTCATATACTAATATTAATATGGATAATCTTTAAAAGGTATTGTGTGTGACAGTGAAGCGTTATTAACCACTAAAAACTGAGCTAACTTGGTTGCAACTCAGTGCCACGATACATACATAATTTTATGAAGTCTTCTGATTTAAGAAAAGATTTGTACAACCCATAAAAAACCAGCTCTATTAAGAAAGGCAGAGACAGAGCAGTAAGTGAAAGAATACCCATACAAAAGCTATAGTTTCTTACTGAACAGTATCCCCTCTACCTCCACAAATGAAGCTGTAGTGCTAGAACTAGTAGCCTACAGCATTAAAGTTGTTCCAATAGCTTTCTGAATCCATACTGGTATAATTAATATAGTTGTTCCACATAAAAACATTTTTACTCCTGAGTAAATTATCCTTAAAAGGGATTTATCCTAGCAGAACTACAGTACTCTCAGCATTTCTTTGTAGCTATTCTGATTCAAGCCTGTAAAACCCAATAAATCAAATATTTTAATAAAAAGAATCTTTGCCAGAAGACCACCTTCACCTGCCTCCCTGCTGATGCTACAGCTGTTCGCTGGGGCTAGCTGATGCTCAGGGCATGCCCACCCACCCACAGAAGATGGAAGTCATACCAAAGCTCTTTATGTTAGATAGGCCTGCCTTAAGAAAAAGACATACTTTGAACTATTTTTGTGGTAGTTTTAAACTCCTTTTCTGGCTTTGGGATCCAGATACTGCAAAATCATCCACTCCAACAAGGACATTTCACCTTTCTGCTCATCACAAACTTTCATAATGATTTAGCATGTACTGCTATATGAATTAAACCTTGGTACAACTGATAAAGCTTGAGAAAAATATTAGTACTTTCTCTTAAAACACAAAATAGTTAAAAAAAACCCAGAAAAAACAGTCTTATGAGTGCAAAGAAAATATCTTAAATCCTTCTACGAGCTCTATGTCTGGCATTTTAACCAGAATTATGCCCATAGTGCTTTTTTATATATCAAGCCTGTGATCTCTGAAGACCAGGCATGTTAGAGGTAGCTTCATCTAGCAGAACTGGTTCCTAAAAA